TCTCTTTCCTATGACAAATCTTGTTCCAAAAGTATGGTGGTGATCATCACAGCTGTAGTAGATGGTATGTTGTCCCTTCTTGAAACTATCATTTCCGATCCATCTGATTTCCTGGATGGCAGCAATGTCTATTAAATAATCGTTTAGGGTGTCCAGGAGGGTTTGAAGTGCTCCGGGTCTATATAGGGATAAAATGTTCCAGGTGGCTAAATTATAGTCCATTTGACGGTTCCTATGTCGTTTTCCAATAATCAGTTCAGCGCATCATTGTTCAGCTTTTTTGATGAGGTTATTTAAGGGGAGCAGGGTATCAGCCTACTGCCCCCCGAGTCAGGTAGAGGGGCTGCCTCTTCAGAGCTCCCCTCCGGGTGCGGCTACCTAGGAGAGGTGACCCTAGGGTGTGTTCTGTAGGTGACCTTAGTCTGTAGTGTATGGGTAAGTGTAGTGTACTGTGTGAGTGTCAGTGTAGATGTCCCCCAACCTGGAGGGCCAGTGGCTGATTGCTGTCTAGCGACTGGGCGATGGGGTCGCCACTTCCTGATGCTGGAGGAAGTTGTTCATCAATCCTTAAACATGCTAAAACATATGTGCATACATATTAACATGGGAGGATTTTTATTATAATTTTTTAAAAATTTTATTCATGATATTTACAAATGTATTAAAAAATAAAAATACATCTAGTAAATATGAACAAATGAATATGATGACTTGAAAAAACTTATGTTGTGTAGATCAGGAATCGAAGAGGGAGCAAGGTTAGAAACGAGAGGGTTGGGATGGTTCTGAAGTTAATTATGGAAGGATAAGTATCTGGATTGGGCCAAATCGGAAACATAAGTAACATTAAGGTCATTATGGATGATTTTATTGGTAACTAATTAAGGAGCATTGAGGATTTTATGAAGGATTCTGGATTCTAAGGATTGGATTTGAGAGGAATTTGATGGTTTAGTGGAGAACCATAGCTCAACTCCTTAAGTCCCTAATAGGCCTTATTATAATCATGTATATGAGTCTTTTGTAATTAATTGAAAGCTTAGAGCTTTTGCCTAGTAAGTGTTGAAGTAGTCGTCAAGCAGTTTCTTGTCGTTTCAGTCTGGTTTGAGGATTCCAAGTTAAGAGGTTTGTCCAGGTGGAGTCCTAGGTATCGGATTTCAACTGGGATATAAGTGTGGTATTGTTAGAGGATACTGTAGAACAGGAAGTCATAGGTTCATGATAAAGAGTAAAGGTAATTTAATGGAATTTATTTTAATTCTCCAGGTTTGACACCATTCTTCAAGATTGAATTGATGTGTCATTATGAATTGATAGGATACATGTGTCATCGGCATAGGTATAGGTGGTGTTGGCAATGTTAGGATGGGTTGGGATGTCAGCTGTATACACCATGTAAAGGATAGGCCCTAGGTTACTACATTAGTAGACTAAGAAAAGAGCAATGAATAGGCATTATTGTGATTTACTTTGAAGTGTCTTTCAATAAGGTAGGAATGGATAATGAGGAAATATATAGGATGAAGGAATTTATTGCTGATTCCATATGTTTAATATCACTGAATATGAATGGTCGAATAATTAATCCAATTTTTATAATTATATCAATTAAATTTATCCAAACTATTAGAAAGATTAGTTCACTCAGTTGAATAACTTTATTGAACAAAACCATCTCCTTATACCTTTATAATCCGGTTTTCATTCCCAATATTCCACCCTATCTGCCTTGTTGAAATTACCCAAGACCTTCAATCCTCCATAGATAAACAGAAAATCTCTATCCTAATCTTTTTAGACATTTCTAAAGCATTTGATTCTGTTAATCATAACATCCTCCTTTCTAAAGTCTATCTATATCAAATAGTGTTCTAAACATTTGTTATTCCTAACAAATTACCTTCTTCGTCCCTTAAATTAACTCAAGCTGTTCCTCAGGGCTCCTCACTCTATCCTAACCTTTTCTCTATATATATTAATGACCTTCCCAATTCCATTCATTACTCCTGTTATCACTTATATGCCCGTTAACCTCCAAATTTACCAATCATTCTATCATTCAGAGATGCCGGAGGCTACTCGAAAGCTACAAGAGGATGTCGACTGTACATTGTTGCCATACGGAGTATATCGACTATCCAAAGACCAACAGAAATAAATGATTTGAAGCTGAATGCAGATAAAACAAAGGCTATCCTCATTGATTCCAGACATCTCATTAGCTCCCTTCCTATCTCTCCTCTACCTCAATAACCACCCCATTCATTTTCTCTCGACATTCAAAAACCTAGGGGTAACCTTTGATCAGAACCTCTCCTGGAACAATTGTATTTCCCAAATTACCCGGAAATCTAAAGCTATCCTTATGCAACTCATTAGATTCCATGATTCTATTCCTCAAAAAACCAGACAGCTCCTTGTAACCTCCCTCATTTTCCTCCACTTTGACTACTGTTTCTTGGTGTTTTGGAGAATTGTCTGCAAGGCTGGAAGTAAGACTAAAGATACTCATGAATTGCTTCATTGGGATTCTCAGGCGTTCTCATGTTTTGTGAAGAGACACTGAGTTGAAGTGGCTCTACCCTACTGCCCGACAGCAATTTCTACTTGGTGTTTTATTTTTCAAAGTCCTCAGAAACAAAAATTCTCCCTACATTTTTACTCTTTACTCTATGTTCCTCTATACATTCACTTACCTCTATACCAGATCCCAATCTACAGATCTTTATATAGACTAGGAACTATCGCCATTTTCATTTAATGAAAGAAGTTACAGCTAGAAACCATTTTAATTTATAGATCATCCTCACCTAAATATACAACTCCGGTCAGTCACTTGAAAGCTATTGCTTTATATAAGAAAATTTAAATTAAAGAGGCGAAATTTGACAGTTCATTTAATGGAAGAACATAAGACTGAAATTTTGATATGATGTCAAGAATATGTTCCTAAAAGAGAATCCACCTTAACTGACGATATACTCTGTTGTATTTTGAAAAATGAAGTGTCAAAGTCATCAAATTAGACTTGTCGGAAGGTAGTTGGATTGGGAAAAAATTCAAATAGTCAGTTTCTTTTTAGTATTTCATGTTTTTCAGGATGCTGAATCTGAATTTGATGTTTCCAAACGAAATTTTCCATTGCGTTCCGAGACAATGCAAAAAACAGCAAAATTTCCGAACTTATTTTTGTGTTTTGGACATGACTCCGAAACAATGCATTTTATCGAAATTATTTTTATATATATAAAGCTGAAGAAGATAATATTTAATATCAATTTTATATGTAGCTTTTTGATGTAGGTCAATTGGTGATGAGTTCGAGAATATTGACTGTACGCTTATTTCAGAAGCAATATCTGTTTTCCCCCAAAACTCAAAATCTATGCATCTCTCATTTGAAAGAACATTAAATTTCCTATGTATCTCATGTATACCCGTTAATGTGTAAGAGGATTAAGCGGCTGTTAAAGCGCATGGAATCAAAGAAGTATTTCACTCATTATGGATATTAAAGTCTCTCATGCCAACAGAATATATAAAAGCTATGTAATTTGTTTATACATTCTAGTTCTGTTATAAAGATAGTCAAATTAGCCAAATCAAAAGCATTGAGAAGATAAAAAACACTTAATAATTTCAATAAAATGAATCGTTATCGATTCGGAGTCATGTCAAAAAAAACAAAAAAAGTTTGGAAATTTCGCTGTTTTTTGCACATATCTCGGAATGCAATGGAAAATTTTGTTCGGAAACATCAAATTCAGACTCAGCATCTCAAAAAACATAAAATAGCAAAGAGAAACCGACTATTTGAATTTTATCCTCATCCAAGTACCTTCCGACTGGCCTAATTTGATGACTTTGATGCATCAGTTTTCAAAATGCAACAGAGTACATCATCAGTTAAGGTGAATTCTCTTTTAGGGACATATTTTTGATATCATATCAAAATTTCAGCTGTATGTTCTTCCATTAAATGAACCCTCAAATTTCGCCTCTTTAATTTAGATTTTCTTATTTAAAGCAACGACTTTCAAGTGACTGACCGTAGTTGTCTATTCAGGTGAGGATTGTCTATAATTTAAAATGGTTTCTAGTTGTAAGTCCTTCCGTTAACTGGAAACAACAGTAGTTCCTAGTCTAATATTATTGGAACTCCCCAATTAATCGCCATATACCAGTCCTCATTTACAAATTCCTTCAAACAATTCCTATTCCACCACCTACTTTATATGCAATCTTCTGTAACTATGCAAGAATTTTTAGATTTTCTTTTGCTTATTTAATTTAATTTTATGGTATTTATTTTATTTTATTATTTATTTTTTGCATATTTGCTTTATTTCTATAAAGCCAGACTAATTTACCTATTTCTTGAACCTTGTCATTATTCTTAGAAGACTTTAGTCCCAAAATAAAAATATTTTTCATTGTATTCATTCATTTCAAGAATTAGTTGAAACCAGTAAAAAATATGAACTGAACATAAATACAAGAAAAACTAATATAATGGCAAAGCCAATTGAAATACCAGTCTATGTAGACAATTAGCAGCTAAAATTTGTTGAAAAGTACATTTAATTAGGGAACAACAATAGCATTCAATGAAAAAATGAATAAAGAATCGACAGAAGAATAAAGCTTGGATGTTAAAAATATTGGTCTCTCAAAATGAGTTTTTTTTTGTTTTTTTTAAAGCAATTCGTATATTAACCAGTGATAAGTGTGAAGCGCGATTTGTATGTATGTAATTATAACCACTACAGGCACATCTTAGTAAGAATAAGTTCTCGCACTATCTTCAAGGTGTGTGCTATGTGAGAGTGTCCTCTATGTTCCTCTTTACAGATTCAAAAACCGGTACATGACTACAAATATTTATTTCTTAAGTATAAATTTTAAGATACGTAGTTTTGTTCATAATTTAATGCTATACTGCTAGTGTTATATTTATCATTTTAAATCTGAATTAATTGATGGTTTTGAATTTTTTTTAGGATGTCGCACTTCTCTGTTTATGTTTAGTTACTGTTCGAGTGCCAAGTTTAGTCAAAGAGAGAGTTATTGGAGATTGGAAAGTAGTCAGTTGTCTGAACTGTGGGCAAGCATGTTACAGCACCAGCGATAATCTTGCATTTAATTCTGTGATTGTGAAAAGAAATCTTGAGGTTATTATTTTTTGTACACTATTAGTGATAATATATTTACTATGTGATAATTTATCTATGTTTATAAATTTAAATTATTATTTGCAGTGGAACAGAAAAGTATTGGTATATCACACTTTTCTCACAAATCTCAATGGGGTTTAGAAGTTTTTCAGAAATAATATTTATTTTAAAATTGAACCTTGAAAATTATATTTTAGAAGCTATGAATTTTGGAATTTAAAAATTGGGTTAATCATAACAGAGTAAATTTTGAGTGTCAAATAGCTTTTTTTATTAAACGGCTATTCAGAACTACTTCACAAGTGTCATTCCAACATTACGGATGGGTACAAAATCACATGATCATACTGTGGATGCAATTTGGAAAATTGCTAAGTGAGTCCGAAAACAGTAGGAGGTAACCAGTACATTCTCTTAATAACATCCCAACCCAACTAAAAGGGTGCTATTAATTTAAGCATCGATCCCAAATGAAAAAGACCTCTTAGGGGTTAGTTCATCTTTTTCGAGCAATTTAATTTTGAAATCACCCCTTTTCACTCTTGAACCCTCTCTATATTTTTTTCTTTAACTTAAATACACTAAGTTTATGACCCCTTGCTTGTTCTGACTTATCTGTGATAAGTACTATTTTAAAATAATTTAATTTAACCTAATTTAAGTTTTATAAAAAAAAAAAAAAATTGTAGTTTTAACTGTGTTTAGTTTAAATTATTTTTTACGTGCTTTTTAATAAGTGGTACATTTTTTTTTTTTAAATCATATAGAATTTTATATATTGATTCTTTTAAACATTTTTTTTTCTTAGAAAGAAATAAGTCAGGTAAATGCTCTGAAACAAAGTGACATTTACTCCCCTGTTTTCAATGTTCTACTTTACGATGACATATCATTGGAAAGTGATTTTGGTAATTATTATATATTTCAACTTTGCAATTATTTACTTTTAATAATACAACTTTCATTAATTTTGTTTCTATTTTTTATAGATTTAAAAGTGTCCTTGTATCCTGCTGCCCTTACATGGCTTAGTGAACAGACATCAAAAACTGAAGAAAGAATAAAAATCTTTACTGAAAAAGAATATGCTGTATTAGACACCATGAGAAGAAGAGCATACAGAGATCAAATAGCAATCTTAAGGTATTTATTGATTTTAATTTGGGATAATTTTTTTCATTTCATAATATTTTTCTTGAATGGTGTCATTGGACAAATTTTTATTATATATTGTTCAAAATTATAGTTAGATAAGATAAATGCTCATATCGAAATTTTTATTTACATTCTTGACCTTTCTTTATTATGCTGTTATATCCTCCACAACTTCGACCTACAGGTTTGGGGCCAAAGTTGTGAAGAAGAAATAGAATGTATTTTAAAATGAAATTTACTTGATTTTTAAAGTCAGTATCACAATATCATTTGTTTAATTTATTATCTCTGTTGAACTATAGGTCAGTACAAGAATATTTCATGAGAAATTGAATGTAAGATCAAAAAAGAAAAGCTCAATGTTCTACTTTCATATTAGCTAGTTTTACTATAACCATTAATTACCTCAGGAGATGGCTTAGTAATGAAGTTCCTGATAATTGACAACACTTGAGGCTACCAGTTCTATATACCACACATCCATAGTAGTACAGTCCTGTAGTCGCCTATTTTAGAACCCGTAGTCAGTGACCCTGATTTGCATGATAGTGGTTCTAAGTTGCATGATAGTAAAAAAACAAACTTGCGGTATGTTTTTGATCTACAGTCTAAAAAGTCTGACTTAACTTGCTTGCAAAATTTCAAGATTTTGTGTGAATCAATAAAATTAGAACAAGTAAAAAGAAAATTTACAGAAATATGTCAGGCTTAGTAAATTTTAGTGAACAACAAACATAATAGCTTAATGATGGATACGTAATGACATAACAACTAGTATTCTCTGTAAGATGAGACAAAAACAGAGGAATCTAGAAAGATGGAATTTTTACTCTATAAAAAGCAATGGTTCCATGTGATAGCCAATAAATGACAACCCATATCAAAATGTTTAATCACATTCGGAACAAAACCAACGTTTAAAAAAATCACTTTGGTATTCTACTATACCTGGATGATGTGGATATGGCAGTTAACAAAGATTTATTCATTATACTCTTGGAAAAATTAAGAAGTAAAACATTATCATCCATATGGGGGATTTATTCTATATGAATGGACAAATCATTCTTGGTAAAACTAACAGCAACTATCAGCACAACTATAGATTATGGTGATCACTTGCTGCATGTAAGTATTAACTACAGTATCATGAAATACATTGTATCTACACCAAGATTGTAGAAATTTTTTGGTTCTCAAAATTTAACAGAAACCTATGTAGACTATCTAGCCAACCATCGGAAGTGGAAAATTTTACTCATAAATGTAAGCTACTTACAAGCTCTGACATCTGGGGATCTCCAACTAGCTCCATAGCATAATGCAAATCACTGAAATTGAAAGAATACAGAAAAAAGAAGATTATTGACATGTAAAATTTATAAAGCAAGAATTTATAATTTCTCCTTGTAACTAGTTAAAAATCTTGGTGTGCTGCAGAACTTCAAGAAAAAAGAAAGTGATAATTTTGTTTTTCTATATAAAATAGATGATACAAGAAACTGTAGAGAATATAATCACATAAATTACTGCATATGGAAAAATATATATAATAATAAAAGGTATATATATCTTCTGAAATCTGGATACTTATGAAGATTAGAGAAAAATTAAAGAATTGATAAATTAAGCAATCGTATTAAAAGGAAAATATAGATGAACAAGTTATATTCAGATGAGAAAACAGGGTAAAAAATGAAGGTGTAAAAAAAAAATGAAAATCACAACAAATATGTTGCCAATGTGATTGTACTTAATTTCTTCGATAATTAGTTTCTATTCTACAGTGTAGGGAAACAAAAAAAAAAAAAATTTATATATATTATTATCACCTTATTTTAAGACTATACAAAGATTAGGGTTTGGACCTCCCATTCTATCCTAATCCGCCTAAAATATTTATTCTTCTCTTCTTTTGTTGGGAAGTGTTGATGTATTAACTAAGATATTGGCAATAAAAATTTCTTTCAATGCAAGCAAATATTATGTTTGCCATATTTTCTTATTGTTAACGTTTAGGGAATTCTTTCCCATCTTCAGAACTCTACGCTGTATTCACTTACAGACAAAATGAATAAATGTTGTTACTATTATATTTTGCTGGTTATTATATTTACCTATGTTATGTTTGATTCTTTGTCTTTGTTTATACATTTTTTCAAAAGTGTTATCCAGAGCAATCACATTACTTGACTAACAATTGGATATCTGTGTTAAGGTAGCTTTCTATTCGTGTCGGAGGTTAAAAAATGTTTGTGCTCAGAATCGAAAAATTCCACTCGCATTTTATGTTTCAGGCGTCAAGAATCAAATTTTTTTCAGTGTCTGTCTAGTCAAATCGATGTGATGGGCATATCACCTAATACTGTTTATCCGATTTTCATAAAATTCTGTGGGTTGGTGCCTAGATGGTTCCATATTAATTTCATCAAATTCCACATAGTACAGTAAGCCGCTAGAATGCCTTGTCCAAAATCAGTTCTCAAACTTCCTAGAGGAACGTTCCTTTATCAACCCATGCCAATCTGGCTTCCGACCCTTCTATTCAACGCAATCTGCTCTCCTTAAAATAACCCATGACCTACAAAACTCCATTGAACGCCAAAACCTTACTATCCTCATCCTTCTAGATTTTTCCAAAGCGTTTGATACAGTTGACCATAACATCCTTCTTACCAAATTGCAAAATCTTCCTCTATTGATATGAATGGTCAATTGATACAGTTGACCATAACATCCTTCTTACCAAATTGCAAAATCTTCCTCTATCCAACAGTGTCCTGCGTTGGTTCAAATCCTTCCTTTCCAATCAATCCCAGTATGTAGTAGTCCCTGATCAACCTCCTTCAAACACACTTCCCTTCTCCTGTGGTGTCCCTCAGGGTTCCTCTCTCTCTCCTACTCTGTTTGCTATTTACATCAATGATCTTCCCCTCCAGATCCGTCACTCCCGATACCACATCTGTGCAGATGATTTCCAAATATACCTTTCCTTTCCGCCCTCCGACCTATTATCTGCCACAGAAAAACTTCAAGAAGACTTAGATGGAATTTGTTACTGGGTAAGAACAAACAAGTTGAAGTTGAATGCGGATAAGACAAAGGCAATCTTAATAGGCTCCAATCACCTCCTTAAAACTGTCCCTACTATTCCAACTCTGTTCCTACATAATAACCCCATCAAATTTCACCCCACCATCAAAAATCTTGGAATAACCATTGATCAAACGCTTTCTTGGAAAAATCATATATCCAATATTTCCCGCCGTACCATTTCCATCCTAAAACGTCTTAACTACTCCCATCACCTATTTCCTTTTGAAATCCGTAGGCTCCTAGTCACTTCCTTAATTTTTCCTCACTTTGACTATTGCTGTACGGTATATGGGGGCCTCTCTGGGGATCTCGAGGCGAAACTAAAACGTTTGATAAATTGCTTTGAACGATTCATCTTCGGGATCCCAAGGGACGCCTCTGTTTCCCATTTTTACATGGAGTTAAAGTGGCTTTATCCTTCCTACCATCGTAAGTATTTCCTTTCATCCTTCCTCTTTCAAGTCATCCAATCCCACCGTCCCTCATACATCTCCGAGCTCCTTCAATTCAAATCCTCTGTTCGTTCCCGCAATACTCGTTCCCGGTCTTCTGATTTATACATAAGGGCCCACCGAACCGCTGCTTTCGACAAATCGTTCATTATCCGATCCTCATCTCTATGGAACTCCATCCCTTCCCATATCCGTCAATCTAATACCCTTCCTACCTTTAAATCCCGCCTGTTCAATCATTTCTTATCCATCCAGTCCCCATAAAATCGTAAATAGATACTACTGAAAATATGTACATAAGTTATTAGTTCGTTTTCATTATTTGTACTCCAATTTTTGTTTATCTATTTTTTTTCTTTTATTATCAACTGATCAAAATTGGAAAGCAACTTATATGTATATGTGTGTATATATATATATATATATATATATATATATATATATTATTTTTTTTAACCAAGACTGTTCAATTACTCTGTATTTTTATTTATATATCTCTGAGGCTCCTTCAGATTTCTGTCTTCCTGTATTATTCTAAAGGGACTCGTCCCAGAATAAATAAAGTATTATTATTATTTCCATTTTTTATTCTTGCTTTGCGGGGTAAGTTTCTGAGGTGGGAGACCAGAAGTCCAGCCACTTCAGATTAATATCTATTACTTTTTAGATATTTAAAAACTTTCGAACAATACGTGCCGTATCCAAGAGAACTGAGTGTTGAGCCTCTTTCAGCACTTCAAGAGGTAATTTTAATCCCATCGTGCCCGCCACTGTTGTCTTTGGTATCAATCCATTGGAGGATATTATAATTGGAGTGGTGGTGACGTTCCCCAAATGATATAATTCCTTCAGTTCGATTGCCAGTTCCTGGTATTTTCTCAGTTTTTCTCCAACAGTGGAGCTTATATTATTATCATTGGGGATCCCGACATCAATAAGCTCTGCTGTTTTCTCTCTCATGTCTATCAGAAGGATGTCTGGTTTATTGTGACGCACAGTATGGTCAGTTATTATCGATTCATCCCAGTAGAGCTTGAGACTACCTTTTTGGAGGAGTTTATTTGGGTGGTACTTATAATATGGAGTTTTGTCATCTAACAAGTTGAACTTCACCACCAGAGCCTGATGAAAAATTCTAGCCACATTGTTATGCCTCTGGAGATACTCGGTGCCAGCCAACACTCCACACCCACCTGTGACATGTTGGATTGATTCCAGCGTCGCTGAGCATAATCGACATTTATCCGTAGTTGTTGCGTCTTTAAGAACATGCCTTCTATATGATCTAGTAGCAATAACTTGGTCTTGGATGGCGAGCAGAAATCCTTCTGTCTCGGAGAATATCTTTCCAGCTTTCAACCATTCAATGGATATTTCCTTGTCAATCGAGCTATCATTTAATTTGCTGTAGAATCTTCCATGCAGAGATTTATTTTTCCA